TAATTTAGTTTGTTTATTTTTCATTTCAATGAACATCTACAGAGATTTTGGAATTCCATTCATTCATTGTTGCACCTTCTCCCTGCACAAACCCTTCCCCCCTCCCACCCCACCCCCAGTTTGCTCCTCTCCTTGAAATGCAGAAGAAAAACTCCCTCATTGGTACACAATCCCCCCGCACCTCCCCAAACCCCACTCCCTACCCCCAAGTATAATCCACTCTGCAACCCTCATTGCTACTAGGATGTTGTTAAAGATTTTTGCATCTCTGTTGAGTAAAGCAGCAAGCAGTAAATGTTGGAAAGGATGTGGAGAGGTCAGAACTCTCATATGCTGTTGGTGGCATTGTAAAATGGTGCAACCACTCTGGAAGGCACTTTGGCATTTCCTCAAGAAGTTGAACATGGAAATTCCATATGACCCCGCTATTCCACTACTAGAAATATAGTCCAAGGAAATGATAACAGACATAAATAGAGATTTATACACCAATGTTCATAGCAGCATTATTCACCATTGCAAGAACATGGAAACAGCCCGATTTTCCAAACACAACTGAGTGGATTGAGAAATTGTGGTACATTCACACAATGGAATACTATGGAGCACTCAGGAGCAATAATTTTGAAAAATACTACTTAACTTGGGAGAGCTTGGAGAGCATTATGCTGAGTGAACTAACACAGTCTCATAAGGACAAATGCTACATAAGAAGTATAACTAGTAAAACATGTATGGGAACTCAAGAGGGGAAGAGTGGGTAGCAGAGGAATAAGGATAGGTAAAGGGCAAAACCACAAAATTCCATAGTTTGGTAAGTGCGTGTGTAGGGGGGATGTTAATGGGAAGAATCGGAGGGGGACAGGGTAACGATGGGCTAGGTCCAACGGTGATTAATTTTATAAACCATAATGCATGAAAATGATTGTGTGAAGCACAATGTATATGAACTTTGAAAGTAAACCAATAATAAAAAAAATAGTGTCTTAAGGATAAATTCTGCATAAGACCATTATTGTAAAAATGGATAACTCTAAAACATGTATTATAACTCAAGGAGGGGGAGTGGAGTGGTGACGAAAGGTAGAGGTGAAACCACAGGGTTGCACAGTTTGATGGGTGGAGGGAGGAGGAGAAATGAATGAGAAAGATATGGGCAAAAAGGGTAATGAGGGGATAAATTCAATGGTGATTAATTTTGTAAAACATAATGCATGAAAATGATTATATGAAACACAACGTGAATGAAGACTAGTGTAAAACACAATGAATACAAAATTTGTAAGCAAACAAACAAAACCACCAACAAGGATGATATTAAGAATGTAGAAAATTTTACTAAATTGAATTTTTTCTCTGCCTCCGGAAACCCTATGAACTTGGAGAAACTATGAAAGTTATACAAGTGTTGAGGACTTTCATTCACAGGATCGTTTTGAGTCATCTACAACTTGACGGCACTTAAAAACAACAACAACAACAACCAGAGAGCTCAGTTGGCCAAGTGGACAGAAAGTGATGCCACCAAGCCAAATGTAGGTGATTTTAATTTGTGGGCCAAGGGCCTGGTTTTAATTGCTTTTGGTCAAACATTCTTCTAAGTGGTATAGCACTGTTCTGTCCATTTGGTGTACAGAGTTAACTCATGGTTGCTGTAATGCTGAACACTGGGGCAATGATTTGTCAAATGTTATAATGGTTACCCATGGTGGACAATGTTTGGTGGAGTTCCCCCATTAAAACAAGCTTGGAAGCAGGAGTGGCATCCACTCCCAAAATAGCTTGCCTCTGGAAACCCTATGAACTTGGAAAAACGATGAAAATTTTACAAGTGTTTAGGTCTTTCATTGATAGGATCGCTATGAGTCATCTATGACTCAAAGGCACTTAACAACAACTATTTATAGATATTTTTGTAACTAAAAATTCTCCCTTTGGTTTATATTATCCAGGTTTTCTTAGACCTACAATAAACATATTTTCCCTGTGTAATCTTAACAGTACTTGAAGACCTATTATGATATAGTATTGTTACACCATCAAAAGTTAATTTATAGTTTTGATTGTTACTAGTAACTACAAAGGCAAGTTGAAGTTGAATATAAGAAATAATAAATATTGTTAAAAGAGAAAAATTAAAAAATGGATTCTATCTCTTTAATTCTTTTATAATATACCTTAATAATAAGACCTTAAAAATAAGCAATTCTATAAATTCAATAATTTTCTTTACCTTTTTGTTTTTTCTCTAACTTTTAATTTTAAAAATTCCCTGAAGTCCTCATAACTATTTTAAATTGTTTCCATACACAGTGCAAAACTTATTAGAAAAAAATATTTAAAAATGGGTCACATCTGAGTTTTGCTTTGAGTTTTAAATGGCCACTTCTTGTCTCCTGGTGATAACCAGGAGCCATTTGCTCATTTATTTTTCTCTGTCATTCTCAGGTAAGCCTCTAATCATACATTGCAAAGCATTTTTCGGATTCAGTGGAGAGTCTGGACCAATGATCTACTGGATGAAAGGGGAGAAGTTTATTGAAGAACTGGCAAATCACATTAGAGAAGGTGAAATAAGGTACAAGACTTGAATTGCTTACTTTTCTTTGCTCTCTTTTCAGTTGTCTTGCTCCTTGAGAGACCTTGGAATCATAGTGTTCTGCATCTTACTTTGGTGAAGTTTTACTGTGGTCCTAAAAATTGAAGTCATTTAAGGTATGGAGAGTAGAAGAGGGAAGAGAAATAAAGACATATTGAAATCATTAGTTCTTTGGATCACTCAAACTTCAACTTCATGATCTTGAGAACAGAAGAACTAGATAATTCCCAGCTACCCCTGCTGATTATTATAAAAAGGGACCACAGTAGATGATCTTGTATAGAATAGGGGGAAATGTAGAACAAAACTAATAAACATTTTCAAACAAAGGGAAAAAAAAAACGCAAGAGGAACTCTGGTGGCCTAGTGGTATAGAGTTGTATTGGCAACACAAAGGTATGCAGTTCAAATCCACCAACTGCTGAGGGAGAAAGATAACAATCTCCTCCCATGTGATTTACTGCCTCTTAAAACTTTCTGGAAGGTTAGCCGTGAGTCAATTCCAAGCCAATGTTACAAACAATAACGTAATCCTTAGTCATCCTTTAGATCTAGGGAGGGGGAAAAAACACTCACTCACTCCTGAGGCTCAAATCCTTTTGTTCAATTTTCAGCCAAATACAATACAAGCAGTAAGTTTATCAACAGTAGCAGGCAGGCAGTCACTATTTAGAATAATCAACTACATACGGTCAAAAGAATTAAATGAAGATTATTTTTTTAATATATTTAAAGAATAGAAATGTTCTGTTTTGGGTTTTTGTAAAATAATTTCTTTTTATTTTATACTAGTTTATGTTGTCCGTGTGTTCGTGGAGTCAAGAGAAGACCAGAGAAATGTCGGTTGTCAGAGGGTTTTAGTCCTTTCAGGCAAGTGACACTGAGAGATTGTAAATCCTCTGCTTTTTATTAGCAGAAAATCAAAGCTTACAGTAAAACATGATCTCATAGGGTAGGTAAATGTTTAAACACATGGAACAAAGCATAGGTAATAGGGAACAGAGCATAGATATGCATGAATAGTTTTCAAGAAAACATTTTTGTACTCATGAACAAAGTCTTACTGCACTCTTAACAGCCTTATCAAGAACATAAGAAAATAGCCTTTGTTTAACAGAGGCCTTCCAGATCCCTTTTATGGTGGTATATGCTCCAGGAAGTCTGAGACTGCTTTCAGTCCCATCCATTCTTGGTATTGTTTGCATGCTTCCAGGCATTGTAGACAAGTCCTTTCGCACGTATTCGATGGCCACTAGTAACCCTAGTGAACTAGAATGACTCTACAGGTTTACTTACTAGAATGACTCTACAGGTTTACCTACTTTTGTGCAAAGAGCTGAAGTCAGAAAATCAGAAGGTAAGAACTCATTTGGCATTTCTAAAGCTGAAGGAAGAACAAATTCAACTCTCGAGTTGCAGTACTGAAAGATGGATAGAATATTAAATTACCCAGGAAGTATCAAAAGAAGATTGAAAGAATACACAGAGTCATTGTGCCAAAAAGAATTACCTAACACAGAACAATTTTATGAAGAAGCATATGATCTTGAAGCAGTGGTAATAAAAGTGGAAGTTCAGGCTGCTCTGAAGGGATTAACAACAACAACAAAAAAATAAGCCCCCAAGAATTGATGCTATATCAATTAATATATTTCAAAAAGCAGATGCAGCCCTGAATGTGCCAGGAAATCAGAACAGCTGCCTGGCCATCTGACTGGAAGAGATTTATATTTATTCCCATTTCCAAAAGAGGTGACCTGACAGAGTGTGGAAATTACAGAATAATATCTGTACTATCACATGCAAGCAAAATCTTGCTGAAGATTATTGAAAACAAAAGGAGTAGAATAGTACATTAACAGAGAACTACCAGAAATACAAAGTTTAGAAGAGGCAGTGGGAATAGGGATATCATTGTCAGTGTCAGATGGATCTCAGGTGAAAGCAGAAAGTACCAGAAGGATGTCTATTTGTGTTTTATCAACCATGCAAAGATGTTTGATTGGATCACAACAAATTGTGGCTAACACTGAGAAGAATGGGAATCCTAGAAGACTTGATTGTGCAATTGTGCTCATTTGAAACCTATACCTAAAGCAAGAAAACACTGTATGGTTTAAAATCAAGGGATATGTCCTTTCTCCATATGTTTTCAATCTATATGCGAAACAGATCATTCAGGAGGCTGGACTTTATGAAGAAGAATGTGGCATCAAAATTCAAGGGAGACTCATCAACAACCTGTTTTACACAAAATGGAGGAGGACTTGCTACAGAATGTCAAGGACTGCAGTCTTCAATATTTATTGCAGCTCAACATCAATAAAACAAAGATTCTCACCACTGAGCCAATTGGCAGCATTGTGATAGATGGAGAAAAAAGTTGAGGCTATTAACTATTTTATCTTCCTCGAATGCACAATTAAAACTCTTTAACATCAGCAGTCAGAAAACCAAACGTTTAATTGCACCGGGTAAATCTGCTGTCAGGAACCTCTCTGGAGTGCTAAAGAACAATGATGCCACCTAGAGACTAAGGTACCCTGATCTAAGCCATAGTCTTCTCAATTGCTTTCTATGCATTGGAGAGCAGGACAATGAGTAAAGATGACAGAAGAAGAATCAATGTGTGTGAAATGTGATGCTGGAAAAGAGTATTGAACTCCCAAGAGAACAAACAGGATTATCCTGGAGAGGGTGAAATCAGGGTACTTCTTGGAGGCAAGGATTTTGAAACTCTTTCTTACAGACTTTGGACATTTTGCCATGAAGGTCTTGCAAAAGACATCGTTGTTGGAAATGTAGAGTCAGTGAAGGATAAGAAGACTCTAGTTAGATGGATTGACACAGTGTCTGTGATGATGGGGTCAAGTGTGTTGTGTCAGAAATAATGAAGTTGGCTCAGGATAAGGGAGAGTTCTTAGGCATTGTTCACAGTGTTGCTATGAGTTGTAGTTGATTTGAGGGCACATAACAACAACATGGTCATAAAAGCACCGTTTACTCAAGGATACATTACTGAAGGCAGGAATGGATAGGATACAAAGATTAATGGAGATGAAAATTACACCTATGAAGTGGGAAGAATGTGTGTATTATAATTAATAATACTAGTGACCTAGTGGCAAGAAGCTGTGCTGCAATCCTGAAGGCAGGTGGTTCGAGGTAACCTCAGGATAAAGATGGACAATCCTCCTGTGCAAATAATTTCTTCTGAAAACCCACTGGAGTGTCAGCTATGGGTTGATTTTCTTTTGGTATGCAACAACAACATTTTAATTAACATTGTAAAATAAATGGTTGATTGGAAAACCAATGTGCTTTGTAAATTTCACAAAATTAAAAAAGGAAAGCTGTTTGTTGGTTTTTTGTTTTTTCTTCAATGATCTTCAATAGCTTAATCATGAGTTTTCTTACCCACTCTGCTCCATTGAATAAGAACTCTTGGCAAACAACTCTGTTTATCAAATTGACCAAGTGCATTTTTTTACTTATCCATGATTAGTGTTTATCAGTTCCCTAATAGCCATAGAATTATTCAAACCAACTAGTCTCCTTTTCCCATGGATATCAAGGGGAACCCATCTTGTCCATGCCCTTTCTAGCTCATTCATTTTTATGTAGACCTGCAAGACATGCAGTATCCTTCAATAGACTGTGGATATATGTGATTAGTAAACAGTTTTCTGACACATCTCTCCAGTGTTGTCATTTGTTTAGCCATGTCTCTATCTATACATAGGGAATCTTACCCTCACCAACAGCTAAGAACTAGTATAAAAACAATCGGGTATTAGTATAGAAACTCCAGTTTTCTTTTGTTTGCTTTGTTCTATTCTTTTCCTCTCAATCTCTTTGTGACTTTTAGCCTAAAATGTATCCCCTGTAGATAGGTGATAGTTAAATCTCCTTTAATTTATCCTGACAATAATCTCGCCATTTTAACTGTATAGTTTAATCCATCCACATTTAACTATTGATATAATGGATCTATGACTGCAATTTTACTTTCTGAGATAGATAGATAGATAGATAGATAGATAGATAGATAGATAGATAGATAGATAGATAGATATAGACATATAGCTTGACTACTAAGTTGAAACAGTGTTGCCATTTGGGTTCTATGGCACCACTAGAATCTTCCAAAATACGGAAGCTCTTGGGAGATGTCATGTGTGCCATATGCTCTTTAGAAAACATGACTGCAGGGAGATGTAGAGATGGCTACTCTAGTGCCTACTGGAGTCTGAGGACAGAGGGGAATGTTAACTTGCCTTCTTGGGAACCTGCAAGTGCTAGAGATGATGTGACTGAGCACTGTCATTGACTGTTAGAAGCAATCAGAGTTTCTTATCCTAAATGTGTGAATTGAAAAATACGGAACTTCTCCACCATGGTGTTTGTTGTTCTATACCAGTAACTCACAGGTGAATTTTCAGAGTATATAATTCATACGGGAGATTACCCATCTTTCTCCATCAGAGCAGCTGCTGGATTTGAACTGGTTGCCTTTGAGTTGGCAGCACATCAAAGCCACCAGTGCTCCCTAGAAAATAGTGGATTTATAATGTCATTAATTTTTAGTGCCGCCTTAACTTTTTAAGAAATACACGCTTAATATTGAAAATCTGGGAAGAAAAATGAAAATGACATGGAAAACATGAAGAAATCACCTACATATAAAAGTTGTATCATCTGTAGTTGAAAGCGTATAGTTGAATCCTGCGGTCTGCAGCCTGTATGCAACAGGATATCTTACTTTAGCACCATTGGCATTGTGGGCTGGATTTTTTTTTACACTGTTCTGTCTTGTCAACTGTGGGGTGTTTACCAGCATTCTTAGCCTCTATTCATTGGGTGCCAGTAACAGTCACAGTCCTGACAATCACAGCTGTCTCCAGACGGTGCCAAATAACCCTCTGGGCAAAATGCCTCTCAATTAGAACCATTGCAGTAAATTTTGGGCTGAGATAGAA